CGTGCATGTGTGTGCGTGTACGTGTGTGTGCATGTGTGTGCGTGTGTGTGCACTGCTTCACACCGTTGGCGTCGTTTTCTAGTCTGCATCCTTTTCATGGGAGACACTGCATGTACTTTCAGCAGGTAAAGCCTCCACCTGCTGTGGTGTCGTGAGGAGGCATCACCTGGGCTTCAGTCTTCCTGGAAGTTTCTGAACAATTGTGATTGTTTCTTGTTTAAATGTTTGACAGAACTTGCCAGTGAAACCACACGGTCCTGGAAGATTTTGTCAGAAAGTGTTGGGCAAATTTTAATTTAACAGAGAGAGGGCTACTGAGTTCACTTTCTTCTGACTGTAAGCTTTGATGCTTTATTTTTCTAAAAATATGTTCCTTTCATATAAATTTTCAAATTTATCAGCACAGAACTGCCTATGATATCCCCTTCTTATCTCCTTAATGCCTGCAGGGTTTTTAGTGATGATGCCCCATGCCAGATTTCTGAAACTGGTGATTTTGTCTTCTACGTTCAGAAATTAGATGTAGAAAAGCAAATTAAATCCAAAATAATCAAAAGAAAGGGAAAACATAAAAAGCAGAAATCAATGAATGAAAAAAAGGAAAAACAATAGACATAATAAAACTCACAGCAGGTTCTCCAAGATCGATAAAATTGATAATCCTCTAGCCACACTCCTGATTGGTTTTCTCCTCTGTAGGGTCCTATTTTCCTGCGTCCTTGCCCCCCTGGTAATCTTTGATCAGTGTAAACAGTGACTGTACCCTCCACCTTGCTGGGTGCCCACCCGGAAATTTCCTCCAATGGTAGGTGGGGCGGCCGCAAGGCAGCTCTGACCCTCTCCGTGGTCACCGCCTGGCCCAGCCTGGGGTCTGATGTTTGAAAACCATAGTTTCACAGATGTTCCCTGGTTTTGATTTGTTTAAGGTTGAGAGGGTAGGTCTGGTGCCCGTTCCTGCAGGTTACCTGGAAGAAGGCACTGCTCATCACCTTACTTTTTCCACTATTGTCAGGAAAACTTGAAATGGCAAACAGCATGTCCAGTTGAGATCCCTGATTTAGGTTCTCTCAACCTTACTTATCACTGAGCTGTTTCACAATTCTGTGAATTCTAGAACCTGAGAGCAATGCAAATGATTCCTGACCACAGGAACCCAGTGTCTGGTGGGAAGAACGGATTACTGGCCCATTGTTTACTTCTTAGGCAGTCACTAGGCTGCTGAGAGAATCTGGCTTTGCTCTGTGGAGCCTTGTTTGAAGCAGGTCTAACACCTCACTTTTCTTTCCTCTCTCCCTAATAAGAAATATTACCATGATTTTAAAAATCTTCAGTACTTGCTCAATTTATATTTGTATGATGGACATTATAACTCTTTTAAAATTTATCTATAGCATCACAGTAAACTTGAAACAACCTCGGAACCCATCAACAGAACAATGGCCTGTCCAGCTAATGAGATACTCAGAAGCCAACAAAATAGTGTGCATTCATTTACACAAACTTCCCAGCTTACCAAAAAAAGAGTAAGCTGTAAAAATACATGTATCTGCAACCTGCTAAGGACGGTCCCCCTTCCCCGAGGCACAAAGCCAGGGAGACGCGCACTAGGGCGTGAGCGTCAAACCAGAGGCAGAACAGGGTGGGGGTACTGATCTCTACTTTCTGCTTTGTGCAACTTCCCTGCACCGTTATTGGAGAAGGAAGTGTTGAACACACACCATGCGCCACACACACTCCTAGGAGCTCAGAAGAGTGAGCAGGACAGCTCCCTGCCCCAGGAGCGCGCCGCCAAGTACACCATCACCACAGAGGGAGAAGAGTTAGACCTGACTTCCCAGCAGCCTCGCCCGCAGCTCGGAGAGTTCAGAGTAGACCCGGGCAGCGGGACGGCTGCTCCTGCCCATCCTCAGGTGTGGGCATGGTCCCCTCAAGAGCCTTCCTGAGAACCCCAACCCTGGGCAGGCCACTTCCTTCCCAGAACCACCCTGGGCTGCCCGTGGGGCTCTCCAGCTGTCTCTCCCGTGTGATGGGCGCTCCCAAAGGCAGGGGGTGTCTGGCCCCCTCGCACCTGGCACGCTGGCTGGCCCTCTCGCACGGTGGCCTCTCCCTCTCCTTGAAGGGGCAGTGATGCCATCATGGGCACATCTCGTAACCTCATCCAACCCTATTCACCCCCTGAAAGGCCCCGCCTCACACACTATCTTCAGCACAGGAACTTGGGAGAGACACAAAGATCGAGGCCAAGGCAGACGTGGAGCCCGCATTTCTAGGGGGAGAGACAAATACCTCAGTACCCGACAGACAGAGACTGCAAGTTCAGATGGTGACGATGAATCCACGGAGCACAATGAGAGTGTGGGGGAGGCCAAGAGAGTGACCTGGAGGCCAAAAGTGTCAGAGGCTCATCAGAACTAAGGATGGAAACACCTGCAGTATTCTCTCCTGCTCCCTGCATCTTTACGGTAAGCAAAGGTTACAGAAAAAGCAAAGATTAATCCACGGGTTCTAAAGCACGAATGTCGTATTCAGTTCTGTGTTTAAAAAGGCAGTGACCAGTACCCCTGGACCTCGAGGTCCCTCCTCCCTGAGCACTGGCCCTTGCTCTGGGCGGGACCCGCTCCCTCTCTGCTCACAGCAGCTCTTGAGCTGCGGTCAGCTGGCTGATCACCTCACTGATCCAGTCAGCCTGAAATGTGTCAGGGGACCTCCGTTAAATTCTTATAAGAATCATCACTGAAAATTCTCTGTCACTGAAATTTTTTCCTTCTGAAGAGACTTGTGCTTATAAACCAGGAAAAGCTGCACCTCCATCCAGTGCACCATCATGCACGATCCTTTCTCTCCGCAAAGGCTCCAGACTCCGGGAAGGACTCCGGGAAGGACTCTGGGAAGGACACCAGGGGCTCTGGAAACAGAGTCTGAGGAAAACAGCAGGCCGCCTGCCCCTCTGGGTTCCAGGTTCCGGATACAGCCCAACATGGCTCGTGTGCAGCGAGGAGGCTGAGAAAGGGGGAAACACCTGTGGTCTGCGGTTTTCCAGGGGTCAGAGTTCACAGAAAGCACAGCTGCCCAGCTCTGAACTCACTCGCAGGCCACTGGTAGCCTGGCTGCCGCCGCACACCCCAGGAACCACATCATCAGTAGAAGGGCAAAGCTTGCGAGTGTGCACTCAAATTCAGTCTGGGGCTGTCGGGCAGGGTCTCTCACCGAGGACGGCACCCCGCACCCCCCCAGCGTGGGGCCACTTACTTGCCCCTCCAAGCTCCAGGACGTGCACCCAAAAGAGATCTCAAACTCTGTGTCCACCTCGGAAAGGCACACAAACGGGAGCTGTAGCTTCACATGGCAGCCACTCCAGCCCAAAGGACACAGGCCCAGGGAGCCCAGAGAGCAGGACGGGGGCACCGTGGGCAGAGGGGCCCTGGAGCCCATCCAGCCCCCGATGGCCCTGCCTTCACCCACTCAGCCGGCTTCCTGCCCGGAGCTGACCCTGGCCAACAGCTCTGCCAGGCCTGAAGCTGGGCTGGGGGTTCCTGGGCAGGGCAGAATGCTAGAGGAGGAAGGGCTGAGGGCCTCCCAACAGCCTTCCACCTGCCCATCCCAGAAGGGGCTTCTTCCAGAGCTTCCCTCATGTCCTTGGGATCTGCCTTCCGACCCTGCCAGGAACCAAGCAGACAACTGGCAGACAATACATGTGGGACAGGGAGGGCGGGGCCTCACCTCCAAACACACCAGGAGGACACACCTCGCTGGACACAAGGGATGAAAATGTCTGCCCAAGGCTCCTCCCTCCGGGAGCCTGCTGTCTCCTCCAGAGTCGAAGCAGCATCTGCCGCCACCTGCCACTGCACTCTGAGCCTCCAGTGGATGGGTCACATGGCCGCCCTCGACACCCGGCGTGGACAGTGGGAGCCTCGAGCAGCCCACTGGCCCGTTTTCACAGGCCTGTACTCAGGCCACCCTAGCCCAGGGCCCAGACGTCGCCCAGAGCAGGCAGGACACAGCCCATGCCCAAGTGGACCCGCTGCTGTCCAGCCCCTCCGCCCCTCAGACCTCAGCCTGCCGGACCCGAAGGCCAGGAGGAAGGGAGGCCCAGGGCCAGCCCCAATATCTCTTGCTGTGTCCTGTTCCCAAAACACCCCCACTGGCTCAGCAGTGCTGCAGGAGGGCAGGGGACAGTCCCCGCTCCTCCCCCACCGCCCCACCTGCACCACCCTCCTCCCAGCTGCCCTCCGGGTTGTGGGCCCCTCACCTCCTGGCAGGTCCAGTCACCCACTGCCCCCGCCACGCTGGATGCCAGGCCACTGGGCTCCCCTCACCCACAAGGCCTCCCCACGCATCCCCTGCCTCAGAGCGGCCTCCCCAGCGCCCTACCTGGGGATCCCAGACACACACGAGTCACGTGCTCAGCCCTACTGCATGGGTCATCCTCACTGCCCTGCAAACACCTGAGCTGCCCTTGGTTGAGCTCATGCTCTGGAGCACAGCTGTGTGTCCACTGCTCCGAATCCAGTCCCCAGCATCCGGCACAGAACTACCCACAGACCAGGGACTCCACCAATACCTGCTCAACACCCAGTGCTGGAACTGGCCCCTCATCCTGCCAACGCGTCCCCCTCGAGCCTGTGACCCAGGTCTACCTCGCCCCAGCCGAGTCTCCATGCTTCCTGCCCAGACCCCACAGTGGCCCCTCCACGTGGCTTTGCCACCTTTATGCTGCAACCACAGGACCCTCCTGAAAGGCACCCTCCTGTCCCCAGAAGCTTTCAATGGCCTCCCCCTCCAGTAATGCAGAGACCCCTGCCCCAGGCCTCGGAGTCCTGGCCAGAGGAGGGGAACCTGAACAGGAAATTCTGAGGAGGAACGTGACGCCCACCACAGCCAGCCCCACGACAGCGCAAGCCCACATGATTCGGACAAAACACGGTTTCCACAAAAATGAAGTACTCACGGCATAAATACTTCATCTGAGAGAGCGTGCTGTTACCAGCACTTCTTACCTGATAAAATTCCCGAAGCCAGTTCTTCTGTAGGTTTTCTGGCTATAAATTAAGAAGAAAAAAAGACAGTCAGACCACGGGCACAGTCCCAAAGAGCCACAAGCAGAAGCTAACGGTCTTCACCAAGACCTGCCCCAGGCCTCACGGTGGGCACCGGTGGGGCACAGCCCGTGGGGGGACCTCCCCCCCAGGAGGGAACCCAGCTCCGCGGGGCAGGTGGTCCCGGAGACAAACCATTCCAGGCAACAGGCAGTACCCAGTGTCCACACCCAGCCCTTCGCCCTGCTCTGTCCCCACAGGGGTCGCGGGGAGGGACCGCCCACCGCCAGGCTGGGGTCAGCCGCAGGACGGCACAACAGGTGCTGGCTGAGGGGAGCCTCTGTCCTCAAGGGACAGGGTTCCATGTGGCCCCCAGGCCGGCTTCCAGGACGAGGCAGGGAGCAGCGGGCCCAGAGGGTGGGCTTCAAGCCCCCAGTGCTCTGGGGGAAGAGCTGTCTCCTGTTTGCAGGTGTCCCTGCTGGGGGTCGCGGACAACCAGCCTCCAGCCGAGAGGGCAGGTGCCCACCCAACCCCAACGACGGACAAAGCACTGAGAGGAAGCGTGGGCGAGACTAGGCAGGAAGGCATTCGATGCTCTGTCTGCAGGATGACAGCGCTCTGGAGACCTGGTGCAGGACGACGCAGACACACCAACACCACAGAACCGCACACTCACGATCGTGACAATGACAACCTAACACCATGTGCTTTCACCACAGTTCGGTCTCTGCCCTGAGCCCAGATGCACCCCACGACCCAAAGTCGCAGCATCCGTGGCCGGCTGCCTCTGCCAGGGTCCTGAAACACAAAGTCATGAAGGGAAGGAGCCCGGCTGTGGAAGGACAGCCTGCAGGCCACCGGAGGGGGTCACTGAGGATGGCCCAACACAGGCGGGGCCCAGGGTCCAGGCAGGTGTGGGGCCTGCTCGCCACCAGGACCAAGCTCAGGGGGCCAGCCCAGTGCCAGCACCCCCCCCACTCCCCCAGCAAGCCCCTCAGACCCCACCATCTTCCCTGCAGAGGAGCAAGGAGGAAGCTGCCCCCAAAAGATAAAAACTGGGCAGGCTTGGGCAGAATGAGCAACGAGCACACGGAAAGGTGTAGCGCATCGTCTGCCGGCTGGGACAGACGCCACGGCACACCCACCGGGACTGCTGAAATCGAAAGGGATGATGGTGGTGTGGGGCGGACGTGGAGGAACGGGAGCCCACAGATGCTGCGGAGACGTCCGGTGGTTCCCGAAAGCGCGGAACAGTCTGCACGTGATCGTGTCGACACGCACACAGAATCAGGCACCAGCACTCTCGGGAGGTGCTGGTCGTGGTCGCCAGAAGGTGGAAATGGCCCAAATACCCACCCATGGATGAATGGATGAACAAAGTGTCGTCTATCCACACAAGGACGATTACCGGACCCTAAAAGGGAACAAAGCCCAGATACCTGCTACAACATGGGTGAGCCTCAAAAACACCACGCTCCGTGAAAGCAGCCAGACACAAAAGGGAAACGACACGTGAGTCCACATTCAGGACGGCCCACGCAGACAGAAAGCAGAGTGCTCAGGGGCACCAGCTTTCCTTGGGGGTGGTGGACTGCAGTGATGGCCGCACAGCTCCCCCACGGGGAGCGCCGTGCCTCAGGCAGAAGAAGAGCAGCGCCGGCCCTCAGCGGCCAAAGGAAGGGGACCTCCTGTGCCAGGGCCCGGGAGATGCAGCCAGGAACCAGCAGCCCCTGCCCGAGCCCAGCCCAGGCCTGGCGAGCACAAAAGAGCTGAGGGCAGAGCTGCCCCCTCTGGGGAGGATGCAGACGGCACACCAGGGTGACAGCCACCTTTCACAGCCTTGAGACAAAGGAGAAGACCTGGCCGCACGACTCCTGGACCAGGACACAGCTCCCGCCGCTGCTCACACGGACCTGCCCGGGACGGAGGAGAGAATGCCAACGCTACTTTTTTTTCTTCATTTCTAACACGATTATAATCACTGTACCTTACTTTCAAATTTTTAAACTCAGTTTTAAAAGCTTAAACCAGAGACAAACAATGAAAGTGCTCAAGACACAGTGACAACACTTTAAATAACCACTGGTCACTATACTCAACAGTAAGAGGGAATGACAAACAGGGAAAACTATTCGTGGATTATATGAAAGCTGCAGGAAAAGCTGCTACAAATAAGCCAGAAAAAGAGCAACAGTTCAAATGTGCCCCCACTGCGTGCACACGCACACACACACATGCACACAATGCACACGCACACACGTGCACACGCACACACATGCACACGCACCTGCTCGGGAGCCCAGAGGCCCCAGGGCTGGACAGTGCAGATTACAGAACGTGTCCACTGACACAGGGATCAGCACTGTTGAACAGACCCTTCCGTGAGGATAGAAACGCGCTATATTTGCATTAGCCAAATTTGTACTTGAAATGTGGTTGGTGTGACTAAAGAGCTGAATTTCTTTTTTTTTTTTTTAAGATTTTTTTTAATTTATTTATTTGACAGAGAGAGAGACAGCGAGAGCAGGAACACAAGCAGGGGGAGTGGGAGAGGGAGAAGCAGGCTTCCCGCGGAGCAGGGAGCCCGATGCGGGGCTTGATCCCAGGACCCTGGGACCATGACCTGAGCCGAAGGCAGACGCTTCACGACTGAGCCACCCAGGCGCCCCTAAAGAGCTGAATTTCTAATATTACTTAATTTTAAGCAGTCACATAGAGTTGGTGACCACATTACTGAGCAGCAGCTCTACAGAAAAAGAAAGGAAGCTTAAGGTCCCTATAACGAAGTAAACGTCATGTCGACAACAAACATGGTGAAGACAACACGCACAAAAGGGGAGAAATGTCACACCTACCCCGCTTACAGCCATCAATACAAATACCCAGAAGTAAAGAATGTAACGGCACATTAAGGATTCACACGCCACAACCGGGTGGACTATTCCACGAAGGCACGGAGGGTTCGACATCAAGACAGCTGCTGATGGAACCGGCAGTCCTGGTTATGGTTACAGGTAACTGGAAAGGTCAGTCAGGACTCCAATTACAGCTCGAACCGCAAAGGCGTGTGAGTCCCACCCCTGTCCTCACACGGACTTCTCTCGGGCCTGCCAGAGAGCTGGAGGGCTGGCAAACCACCACCCCAAGTCCAGAGAGACAGGAGAACACAAGACTTGCGGCCCAGACCTGTTCTCCTGGAGGAGAAGACGCTGGAGCCAAACCCCAGTGGGAAGACCCCAATGGTCACTTGATAAACTGCTGCAAGCCGAGTGTGGACGGGTGTGATGAGAAGCTCCTCAGGACCACAGTTTCAAGGAGGGTCCCATGTCTGGGAAGGTTTTTACCTGCAGGTGTCTTAGCAGGTACTCACTGTCTAGATCAGAGAAGGATCCCTGGAGAAAAGACCGTCTCCTGGCTCTGGCAGGGGGACGGGAGGAGGAGCCACGGGGAAACACTCCCAGGGTGCTCTCCACACCAGAAGCCCACCTTGCTGGGGAAGAGACTTTAGCAGCACCTCAGCCCACCCCTGGAAAGGGTGCTTCCCCCCAAGCTGCCTGCCTATCGCATGGAAGGGACGGACGAGGGGGAGCCCCGTGTGGGGGGCACAGTACAGGGACACGGGCGCACCAACGGTCCGGGACTTAGGCACAGACTGTGGAGCACTCCCTTCCCCCACACCAACAGGGCACTGGTGCAGGGACAGCAGATTCCAGCCCCATAGGGTACGACACAGACCACCCCAGAGGAGTCCTTAGGGAACCCCAAAAATGAACATGAGGACCCCAATACCACAGCTACAGCACACAGTGAACATGGCCCAGAACCTCACCAGATTAACAGAAGGCCTCCTACAACCTCAGCTCCTGTGACCCAACTCTTCGAGTCCAGCTTTCAGCAAGAAATTACAAGGCAGACTAAAAGACAAGGGGAAAATAACAGTGTAAAGACAAAATACATTGGAATCAGACCCAGTTATGACCCAGATTCTGGAACTGTCAGAAAGGGAATTATTCAGAGTAGACTACAGGCTCTGAAGGAAATCGTGGAGAGCACAAAAGGACAGATGCAGTGCGATGGAAACTCTAAGACAGAATCCAAAGGAAATACTAAACATCAAAACCACTGTGACAAAAATGAAGAAAGCCACTGATGGGTTCATTAACACACTGGACATGGAACAACCAGCGAGCTTGAAGACACATCCACAGAAACTTCCAAAGCAAAAATGCAGAGAGAAGAACATCCAAGAACCGAGAGACAATCTACCATAATGAGGGCTTCACAAGAAGACATAAAAGAGTGGAACACACTTGTGAGGTACTAACAGCTGAGAATTTTTCAAAATTAATGACAAACCCAAACCACAGATACAGGAAGCTGGGAAAACACTCAGTGGCATAAATCCCAGAAAATGTACTTGCGGGCACACAGTATTCAACCTGCAGAACATCAACAACAAAGAGCGTCTGTGATGAAGGAAGAAACAGGTGTGTACCTAATCTACAGGAACTGGGACAGGAGTTCTAGAACCTTCTGGACAGCCATGCAAGCAAGAAGAGAGTCATGGGAGATGAGAAGGAAGACCACCAACCCAGGATTCTGCATCCAGCAAAATTATCTCCCCAAAGTTAAGAAGAAATAAAGATGTTCTCAGACAAAACTGAGGAAATTCATCACCAGGAGACCTGCCCTAAAAGTAATGTTTTAAAAAGTTCTTCAGGGGCGCCTGGGTGGTTCAGTTGGCTAAATGACTGCCTTCGGCTCAGGTCATGGTCCTGGAGTCCCAGGACTGAGTCCCACATCGGATTCCCTGCTCAGCAGTGCCTCCCCCCTCTCATGCTCTCTCTCTCTCTCTCATTCTTTCTCTCCCAAATACATAAAATCTTAAAAAAAAAAAAAGTTCTTCAGGGAGAAGGAAAATTATGTAGGTAAAAACTGCAGATTTGCACAAAGAAACATGGAGAAGTAGTAAATCAAAGTTCTCCAATAAAAGTCTGAAAAAC